CGCTGTGCTGGGAGCAGGCCCCAGACCCTCCGCGCTGCCCAGCCGCTGGCCGTGCGACTCCCGCCCCTCGCTGTCCATCTTCCTCCAGGGCGTGGACTCCTTGGTCCTTGAGAGTGTGATGTTCGCCATCCTTGCGGAGCGGTCCCTGGGGCCCCAGCTCTACGGAGTCTTTCCAGAGGGCCGGCTGGAGCAGTACATCCCAGTACGAGGCACCTCCTTCCCCAGCCCCCAGTCCCTTCCCAGTGTCTGCCCTCGGGTCCCTGACCGCGAGACCCTGACCTCCCCCACTGCCCCATCCCGACCCCCTCCTGCCCCAGCCCCCTCACCACCCTGAGAGGTTCCTGGGTGCAGAGCCTGCCACTGAAAACGCGAGACCTCCGAGAGCCCATGCTGTCAGCAGCCATCGCCACGAAGATGGCCCGGTTCCATGGCATGGAGATGCCCTTCACTAAGGAGCCCCACTGGCTGTTTGGGACCATGGAGCGGTGAGTCAGAGGCCTCCGCAGGGCTCCTGCACACCTGGCTGGACCCTCAGGCTGGGCTCTGACAAAGTGTCCATGACTCTGTCCAGCTGGCCACTTAGTGGATCAGGTGTCCCAGGGCCTCGCATGGGCTCTCACAGAACAGGCTTCCAAACATTTGCCAGACAAGCCATACAGTGACAGGGAAATGGCTGGGACAGCGTGGCCCAGGGTAGACAAGAGAGCCGGTGGAGAGGGACAGTGGAGTGAGTGTATCCTGTTCTTTGGACTTCAGGTACTTAAAGCAGATCCTGGACCTGCCCCCCACTGGCCTCCCCCAGATGAACCTGCTGGAGATGTATAGCCTGAAGGATGAGATGGGCAAGCTCAGGTGAGGGCAGGCAGGACAGGATGGGGAGGGGGCAGAGAGCACAGGAGGTGCTGCCGGGAACCTGCAGTGTCCTCCCCAGGCTTTGCCCGAGGGCCCACGAAGGGGACTCTGACCCTCCTCTAGTCACTCCTACTCAGACACATGCCCCTGTCCCCTGCAGGAAGTTGCTCGACTCTACCCCATCACCAGTAGTGTTCTGCCACAACGATATCCAGGAAGGTAGGAAACATCATCTGAGTCTTCCAACCCAAGGTGCAGGGGCCCGAAGGCCCTGGAGTGACCAGTACCCCACTACATCCCCCAGGGAATATCTTGTTGCTCTCAGAGCCAGAAAATGCCGACAGCATCATGCTGATCGACTTCGAGTACAGCAGCTACAACTACAGGTGAGACCCATGGCCTCCCGTGGGTCTGTCCCCACAGAGCCCTGGATCTCAGACCAGGCCTCCGTCTCTGCCTCCCAGCCGCCCAGCAGATTTGGGGACTGAGTGTCCACCTTATTCCCCCAGGGGCTTTGACATCGGGAACCATTTTTGTGAGTGGGTTTATGATTATACTCACGAGGAGTGGCCTTTCTACAAAGCACAGCCTGCAGACTACCCCACGCAGGGACAGCAGGTATGCGGCTGGAGGCTGGGGAGTAGAACTTGGCCTGTGAACAAGGAAGGTGAAGCCTGGATGAAGTGGTGAGAAAGGGGGTTAACGAGGAAGTGCTCCATGCTCCCCACTTCCTGACTCTGGTCTGTTGATCTTAGCTCCACTTTATTCGCCATTATCTGGCAGAGGCAAAGAAAGGCGAGGTCGTCTCCCCAGAGGAGCAGAGAAAACTGGAAGAAGATTTGCTGGTAGAGGTTAATCGGTGAGGAAAGGTGGCTGGGCGGGGTAGAGCAGGGTGCCGAGGAAAGGGGGCCTCAGAAGAGGTAGACGGTGCCAGTGCCAAGTGGGGGTTGGGGAGCAAGGCTGATGGGAGGAGATGGGACAGGGTAGGGGTTAGGGCAGTGGGGGAGAAGTTGGAGCTCTGGGATTCAGGCGATGCCAAATGTGCTCCCAATCCCCCTGCTTTCCCCACCTCCCTCAGGTATGCTCTGGCGTCCCACTTCTTTTGGGGTCTCTGGTCCATCCTCCAGGCATCCATGTCCACCATAGAATTCGGTTACTTGGTGAGTAACCCAGGTGGCCAGTTAGGTGGGGGAGGAGTTGCAGAGGCTCTGGTCCTGCCTCAGGGCAGCCCTGGGAGGCTGTGGGCAGATGGGGGCTGTGGGAACTCCTCCCAGGCCTGCTCACCGGTGTGTGGGGTGGTCTCCTCCCCAGGAGTACGCCCAGTCTCGGTTCCAGTTGTACTTCCAGCAGAAGGGGCAGCTGACCAGCCTCCAACCCCCATCCTGACTCTCCACCCCACAGCTGCTTGGATGTTCCCAGAGCCTCCCCTGCAGGACCTTGGGGGGGGAGGGGCAAAGAGCAGGAGGCCCTGGGGACCCCCCGAGCCTCCAGTGAGATGGGCAAGGAGGGTGATCTCTTCCCCCAGTTTGAGCAGGTCCCCAGGAGCGGGAACCCCTGGGCTGTGTACCTTGAAACAATAAACGAGCTTCTTCCTTCACACCCTCTTCTAGCCCTGCTCAGTCCAGCAAAAAGTACCCACAAGGATGCACACAGACTGACAGAGTGACCACTGCTCTGAGCCTGTTTCCCCTTCTGAAAAGCATGGCTGTTCAGTGCTCTGGGCTTGAAAGTGGTTCCGGGTCCATTATGCTGATTGGAGGCCCCTCCCTTTTCCCTCGGCCCGGGTCCAGCTTAGAAGTGATAAATCCTCGGAGGAACTGGGCCAGAGACGGGAGTAATGGTGCAAAGAGCGCCCTGGGTGGGGCTGCTCAGCCCTGCGCCCTGGAGATCAGGGCACAGGCGGCACAGCTGACACGGGTGACCTTTCCCCTACATTCGACTATTTTTAGCTCCAATGCCACCCGCTCACGTGAGACCCGGTGCCCCACCCCCACCCTCCGAGCCGGGTCCCCAGACCTTTGAGCAATCTTCACCTTGCGGAAAGCTGCCCTCCCACTCCCGATTTCCGCCATGGAGGGGAGGGTTCTGGTTGCCGCCCCGCATCTGTTTTCTCAACCCAAATTTGGGAGAGGGTGTCAGGTTCCGGGGAGGGCGGGGCGGGGTGGCCGGTCTGAAGGACGCGGGGACACGGGCCAGAGCGACTGGCCCCACACGCAGGCAGGAGGGAGCCC